TGACAGGCAACAGAGGGTTGTAGTTAATGGAATATATTCGAAGCTTGGACTTGTCACCAGTGGGGTACCCCAGGGATCTGTACTTGGACCCATTCTCTTTAATATTTTTATTAGTGATATTGCAGAAGGTCTTGATGGTAAGGTATGTCTTTTTGCTGATGATACTAAGATATGTAACAGGGTTGATGTTCCAGGAGGGATAAGCCAAATGGCAAATGATTTAGGTAAACTAGAAAAATGGTCAGAATTGTGGCAACTGACATTTAATGTGGATAAGTGCAAGATAATGCATCTTGGACGTAAAAACCCAAGGGCAGAGTACAGAATATTTGATAGGTCCTAACCTCAACATATGAGGAAAGGGATTTAGGGGTGATTATTTCTGATGACTTAAAGGTAGGCAGACAATGTAATAGAGCAGCAGGAAATACTAGCAGAATGCTTGGTTGTATAGGGAGAGGTATTAGCAGTAGAAAGAGGGAAGTGCCCATGTCATTATACAGAACACTGGTGAGACCTCACTTGAGTATTGTACACAGTACTGGAGACCGTATCTTCAGAAGGATATTGATACCTTAGAGAGGGTTCAGAGAAGGGCTACTAAACTGGTTCATGGATTGCGGGATAAAACTTACCAGGAAAGGTTAAAGGATCTTAACATGTATAGCTTGGAGGAAAGACTAGACAGGGGGGATATGATAGAAACATTTAAATATATAAAAGGAATCAACACAGTAAAGGAGGAGACTATATTTAAAAGAAGAAAAACTACCACAACAAGAGGACATAGTCTTAAATTAGAGGGACAGAGGTTTAAAAATAATATCAGGAAGTATTACTTTACTGAGAGGGTAGTGGATGCATGGAATAGCCTTCCAGCTGAAGTGGTAGAGGTTAACACAGTAAAGGAGTTTAAGCATGCGTGGGATAGGCATAAGGCTATCCTAACTATAAGATAAGGCTAGGGACTAATGAAAGTATTTAGAAAATTGGGCAGACTAGATGGGCCGAATGGTTCTTATCTGCCGTCACATTCTATGTTTCTATGTTTCTATGTTTCTAGGCCATGATCTAACCACTTAATGAGGCCATTGTTAGCTGAACTGACTTTTTGTAGGACCAGGTCATATACCAGGCACAGGGAATGCTTTTGGTGTTTAGGAGACAAATATGATTAGGCCTTTTGAGTAGGGTAAATCTTTCTCCATGTGACATAAAGATGAGAGTGCATCAGCTGATACAGGACAACACTTATTTTTGAACAGTAATGATTGGCATGAGACATGGGTGTCCATGAGGGGATCATTTACAAAGTTGAAGTCTCTACACACTATCGTTTGACCCCTGCAGGAGGAGTCTAGCTTTTATAGGCGCATAGCTAAGATTGGTTTTGATTGGACACGTAAAGGCTCAAAATGGTGACCAGTTCACTATTCAGTGTACCAACAATGACTAGTGGTCTCTCTGTTGTTATGTGAGCCATAAGTTCCCCACTTCATCAACCCTGACGAGACCTGTTTCCCTCACATTGTGCTCCATCTCCTTAAGAGCGTCGTATGACCATGGTCCTCCTTCTGGAGGCCTGCTCTTGTTTTGCCAGGCTTTTCTGCAGGATGTTCTAGTGTGCAGCCAATCAGTGAGAGTGGAGATATGAGATGACATCATATCCCTGTCCCCTCATAAAACAGCACTTTGACCACTTGGTAAATGTTAGAATTGGTTGGGAAAAGAGAAGAAAAGGCATGGGAAGGATGGGGAGAGAAATAAAAGACATATGAGAGATAGTGAGAGAGAAGGGGCACAATAGCGAGGCATGGGGTGTCAGGATTACAAGTTGATCCAGGACGCAGTACTGTGTCACACCTAGGACTAAGGATAATGTATAACCGGACATCAGAATTCCTGGACTTAACGTCTCCAAGAATAGTCAAAATACTTGCCGAAGTCAGGGACACAGAATCAGACACAAAGATGAGGGAAAGCCAAAAGTCAAGGATACCAGATATCAGGGAAGTCAAAACAAAGCCAAAGTCAAATACCAGAAAATCAAGATCAGGAACGCACTCTCGGATAACCATATGCATGAAACCACGACATGGCACTGAGAAAGAGTCGAACTGTGGATCCAATTGGCTGTAACCGGCCTTTGACCCCAAAGCCAATTACCAGGTTTCCATGTGCATGATTGCTGCTCAGCACAAACCCTCCTGTGGATTTGATAGGCCATGACCTTCCTTTGACCCCAGAAGTAATTACCAGGTTTCCATGTGCATGATTGCTGCACAACTTTTCCTGTCAGGACGGTAATATTGCTTGGCACAACTTTTCCTGTCAGGATAGTAAATGGCATTAACCACATTTTTATGTGCGGATGAATACGTGACATTACCCCCCACCTGAAGACCACCCGCCGGGCGGGCAGGACCAGGTTTGAGAGGGAACTTGTTGTGAAAAAAAAAACGAATTTTACGGATAGCATGGATATCAGTAGCCGAAACCCAAGAATGGTCAGCAGGCCCATACCCCCTCCAATCAACCAAATACTTTAAGGAACTACAAGAAAACCTGGAATCAATGATGGAGGAGACTTCGTACTCCTCCTGTCTAAAAACAACCAAAGGAGGAGGGGGAACAATCGGACTTGTGTACCGACTGCAAACAAGCGGTTTGAGCAAGGACACATGAAAAGTATTAGGTATACGTAAGGACACTGGAAGGGCCAGAAAATAAACAGGGTTGATTCTCCTAACCACACGAAAAGGACCAAGGAACCCCGGAGCAAACTTCATGCTGGGAACTTTCAACCTGATGTTGCTTGTGAATAACCAAACCCGATCACCCACCTGGTAAACTGGATTGGCACTCCTCTGTTTATCCGCATGAAACTTAAGGCGAGCAGCCGCAGTTTCAAGGGGGAGTGAACCTTAGTCCAGGTATCACGAATAGAGGTAAGGTGATCATCTAGAGTAGGGATAGTCGTATCAGAAAACACAGCAGGGAGAACAGCAGGATGACGACCCGTATTGAGAAAAAACAGACTATGCCCAGATGAGTCATGGGTAGCATTATTCCTTGCAAATTTGGCCCAGGGCAATATTTCAGCCCAGTTAGACAGTGTACTATTCACGAAGCAACGTAAATACAGCTCAAGTGATTGGTTAGCTCTTTCAGCTGTACCATTATATTGGGGAAGGTAAGCAGAGGAAAATGACAATTCAATGCCCAACCGTTTATTGAATGCCCTTCAGAACCGTGACACAAATTGGGAACCCCTGTCAGACACAATATTTTGAGGAATACCATGTAGCCTGACAATATCGCGTGTAAATATGTGCACCAGGTCCTGAGACAATGGCAATTTTTTAAGAGGAGTAAAGTGTGCCATTTTGGAAAAACAGTCAGCTACCATGAGGATGGTTCTATACCCATTGGAACTAGGCAGTTCAACTATGAAATCCATCGATAAATGAGACCATGGGATACTGGGTATAGGAAGTGGCTGTAACAATCCACACGGAAGTTTATGAGGAACTTTTAAAACTGCACAGACAGAGCAGGCTTCTACATAATCTTTAATATCCCTCCTGAGTGACTCCCACCAAAATGACCTGGAAATGGCGGATACAGTTTTATTAATACCTGGATGCCCAGCTGTCACATTGTCATGGAATACCTTCAGCAGCCCTTTCCTGTCAGGCAATGGAATAAACAATTTATCTTGAGGTTTGTTACAAGGTGCATGAGGATGAGCCACCATGATAGCACAGATCAAAGGGGACGATAAAGAAAGGACAGTGGATGCAATAATACACCCAGGAGAAATAATAGGTGATATCTCTTGTTCTAGATCCGATTCAAAAGCTTTAATCGAGCCTTAATTAGAGGGTGAGCAATCTAGTGGTAGTAGAAGAAAATGGGGGGTAACCCCTAATATATATATATCTTAAACAGCAAAAGAATTGGAAATAAAACAAAAATAAAAAATTGTAGTAACAAAAAACTACCAGTAGGTATCACCAGAGGTTAGGGGGGAAAAAAATCGAAATTTTGTCTTAAAGGAACACTATAGTCACCTAAATTACTTTAGCTAAATAAAGCAGTTTTAGTCTATAGATCATTCCCCTGCAATTTCATTGCTCAATTCACTGTCCTTTAGGAGTTAAATCACTTTGTTTCTGTTTATGCAGCCCTAGCCACACCTCCCCTGGCTATGATTGACAGAGCCTGCATTAAAAAAAAAAACTGGTTTCACTTTCAAACAGATGTAATTTACCTTAAATAATTGTATCTCAATCTCTAAATTGAACTTTAAACACATACAGGAGGCTCTTGCAGAGTCTAGCAAGCTATTAACGTAGCAGGGGATAAGAAAATCTTAATTAAACAGAACTTGCAATAAAGAAAGCCTAAATAGGCCTCTCTTTACAGGAAGTGTTTATGGAAGGCTGTGCAAGTCACATGCAGGGAGGTGTGACTAGGGTTCATAAACAAAGGGATTTAACTCCTAAATGGCAGAGGATTGAGCAGTGAGGCTGCAGGGGCATGTTCTATACACCAAAACTGCTTCATTAAGCTAAAGTTGTTCAGGTGACTATAGTGTCCCTTTAATATGTCTATTAATAAAACTTAACTTTTAATATGTTAATGCATGAAATAAAACACGTTGACAAGCAATTTTAAAATATGAGCGATCCTGGCGAAACGCGCGCGTCAGGGGCTCAGGACATCTAATCGGTAATTGCTGAGATCTGTACTGACAGAATACTAACCTGGTGTATAGACGTCCTGCACATTTTTAGGGATATAGCAGTCCTAAGATTGACTATTTACCTTTACTTATTACTAATTTGAAGTGGTAGGCATGAGACAGAATAGACAGGTGTTTTTATCAAGGGGTGCCCTCGAAGGCACATAAGATAAGAATCTTTTACCTTGAAGGTTCCCTCCTAAGAACTATAAAAATATAAGCATTACCTTACTGATTTAAGTACCCTTGTGTTGCTTCTTACAACGTTAACTATACAATAGGAGCTCAGAAATACAGCAGATCTGTTCTAAAGAATAAAACCCGTTTTTTCTTTTACCGATACATTTTTCTGATCTGTCTGCACTATTCTATGTAAGAGATTCAGATCTATTTAGAACCAACCTGACAGATACTTTATAAATCAAAGACTGCTACTTTGTAACGACTGAATACACAGCACAGAGAAAAATCTATCTGCCTTGTGTAACTGCTAAACAAAACAATATGAGGATTGCATCCTAAATTAAACTTAGTAATAATTGTAACTGCTCTATATGACTAAAGGAGGCACCTCAGGACTGATAATCTCCTTTAGTAATTTTGATTGATAAATATACTATACGATCAACTTTGTAAATAGGATCTGTACTGGGATCTTACAGACAGATTTGGGACTACTTTCCCTATTTTAAAATTGCTTGTCAACTTGTATTATTTTATGCATTAACATATTAAAAGTTACATTTTATTAATAGACATATTAAGACAAAAGTTGAATTTTTTTTCCCTAACCTCTGGTGACACCTACTGGTAGTTTTTTGTTACTACAATTTTTTTATTTTTGTTTTATTTCCAATTCTTTTGCTGTTTAAGATAGATCCGATTCAAAGTCTAATTGCCTAGACAAGGCTTCAGATTTAACGTTCTTAGAACTGGTTCTGTAGGTGATAATGAAGTTAAAGCGAGACAAAAATAATGACGATCTTGCTTGTCTAGAAGACAGTCGTTTGGCAACCCAAATATGTGCTAGGTTCTTGTGATCAGTAATTATCAGAATGGGATCCTTGGAACCCTCCAAAAGATGTTGCCATTCCTTAAGCGCTAGTATGATGGCTAACAGTTCTCTATTACCAATGTCATAGTTAGGCTCTGCAGGAGACAACTTTCTGGAGAAGTAACCACCAGGATGCAAAGGGGCATCATGACTCTCTCTCTGAGAAAGAACAGCCCTGATCCCTGTCTCAGAGGAGTCAAAATCAAGTAGGAAAGATGTAATAGTGTAAGGATGTCTTAATATGTCAGCAGATGCGAACATTTGCTCAAAAGCCTCTTTAGCTTGTTTAGGCCATATAGTATAAATTGGTGATGGGGGCTGTTACCGAAGAGAAACCTTTGATGAATCTCCTGTAATAGTTAGAGAAACCAATAAACCTCTGTATGGCTTTTAACCCACTGGATAATGCCCATTGTAGAACGGCCTCTAGTTTGCGAGGATCCATTTGGAAACCAGAAGCAAAAAATGTTATATAACTGAACCTCATGTTGATCAAATACACATTTCTCAAGTTTACAATGAAGACCATTTTTAAGCAAAGTTTGTAAAGCTTGTTTGACATGATCATGATGAGTTTGGATGTCGGGGGAATAAATAAGGATATCATCCAGGTATACAAGCACAAAAGAGTAAATATAGTCTCTGAGTACATCATTAATGAAGTCTTGAAATACAGCCGGAGCATTACATAACCCGAAAGGCATAACAACATATTCATAGTGCCCACTCCTAGTGTTAAACGCTGTCTTCCATTCATGATCCTCCCTAATTCTCACCAAATTGTACGCACTCCTAAGGTCAAGCTTAGTGAAGATCTTGGCACCCTGCAGTCTATCAAACAATTCAGATATAAGAATTGGATAGGCATTTTTGATAGTATTCTTGTTTTATGCCCTGTAGTCTATGCAAGGTTGTAATTCTCCATCTTTCTTAGCTACAAAAAGAACCCTGCACCAGCAGGCGAGGATGATTTACGTATATGGCCTTTCATTAAAGATTCATTGATGTACTCATCAATGATTTTACTTTCTTGTGAGGATAGGGCATATACCACTCATTTAGGAGGTATAGCCCCGACAACAGATCAATGGAACAATCATAAGATCTGTGTGGAGGAAGAGCATTAGTCTGGCTTTTACTAAATGCCTCTCTTACCTCTAGAAGTGGGTAGCATGCAGCTTTCCTGACAGTCTCTACCCCATTCCAGTATTTTCCCTCTAGTCCAGTCAATATGAGGGCTATGCTTGATGAGCCAAGGGAACCCTAATACGATGGGACAAGAAAGGGAAGAGATTATCTTTAAAGTAATGTCTTCCTTATGCAAAGCTTCCTATTGTAATGCAAATAGGCAAGGTCTCATGGGTAATAAGAGGTTGAGATAGGGGTCTCCCATCAATAGCCTCAACCGCTAGAGGTGATGATCTCTCTTGACTGGTATAGTGTGTTTTTTAACAAACTACAAATCAATAAAGTTACCAGCCGCACCTGAGTCAACCAGGGCTTGGCATGAAAAGTTCTCCTTGTTGCAAAAGGCGGAAATGTCACGGAGAAATCTGCTTTGAGAATTACTAGAGGATGTATCCATTACATCTAAGACCTGTCCCTTTAAGGTTCTTAGGTGCGGAAGTTTTCCGGACGTACAGGACAAGCATATCTCATATGTCCTTTCTTGCCTCAATATAAGCACAGACCCTTTCTTCTCCTATACTGTTTCTCTGCCTCAGACAGTCCTGTAACCCCTAACCGCATAGGTTCGGGTTCAGACATCGTTGAGAGGTCAGGGACAACAGGTTTGGAGAATCGAGGTGCTAGTGACATAGTCAAATGTCTAGTTATGTCTAGTTCTGTTTCTAGTAATTTCCCTGGTCCTGAGTCTATTATCGATCTGCATTACATAGGTAATAAAGTAATTTAACCCCTTACGTAGGTCTCTGGCAGCAATTTCATCCAGTATAACTTAGGATAAACCTTTTTTTAAAAGCAGCGATTAATTCGTTTTTAGTCCAGTCTACCTCAGATGTCAAGGTACAAAATTCTATGGCATAATCAGAGATAAACTGGTTCCCTTGTTTGATATGCATTAGGGCAGTGGAGGCGTCTTCCTCTCTGCCTAATGGTTCAAACATCAGTTTGAATTCCGCCAGGAATTCCTAGTATCAATGAGTGATACTCCTATTACTTTCCCACAATGGATTTGCCCAGGTTAAGGCCTTACCTTTAAGTTGGTTCATCAGATACCCAATCTTAGCTCTATCTGAAGGAAATGAACCAGGTGAGGCCTCAAAGCGGTACTCAATCTGATTGAGAAATCCCCTACATACCTGGATATTACCAGAAAAATGCGGAGGAGTAGATAAGGAGATCGTAGGTGCCTTATATACTATAGGTGGAGGTACATTAGGCAGTGGTGAAATAATTGGAGAAGCCTCAGGTTGTAAATGAGCTGTCCTAGTAAGGAGTGTTCTAAAAGCCTGGGCAAATTGATCCATATGGTGATCATTCTCCTCTAGCTTTCTCTCACAAGCTGCTATGTGCTGACCAAATTCTGCAGGAACTATGGCCATGTTGTAATGTCAGGATTACAAGTTGATCCAGCACGCAGTACAGTGTCACATCTAGGACTAAGGATAACGTATAACCGGAACTTAGAATGGCCGGACTTAACATCTCCAAGAATAGTCAAAATACTTGCCGAGGTCAGGGACACAGAATCAGACACAAAGATGAGGGAAAGCCAAAAGTCAAGGATATCAGATATCAGGGAAGTCAAAACAAAGTCAAAGTCAAATACCAGAAAATCAAGATCAGGAACGCATAACCATATGCATGAAACCACGACAGGGCACTGAGCAAGAGGACAACTGGGCCTAAATACCCCAAAGCCAATTACCAGGTTTCCATGTGCATGATTGCTGCACAGCACAAATCCTCCTGTGGATTTGGGAAAGGGAATAAGTGGCATTGGAGGGATGGAAAAAAAGATTGGAAATGGAATAGAGGGATGGATGGATGGGGAAATAGGAGTATGTGTATAGGAGGGAAGCTAGTACTTGATTATAATGGGTGCACACCTTAATGCAGTATGCTCCACATGCCATAGAAAAAAGCAGTTACAAGGTTACTCCAGGTTCTATGATGACTTGACTTATTTGAAATGGTCATTGTGCTTAGAGTTTGTATGTGCAGCATTTTAGTGCAAATCCACCCCCAGCAGCATCATTAGTTTACCAGAGGTGTAACTTACAAGGGTTCCAGACTGGTTAATGCCAATTCTGTGCATATTTCTATGCACAGTGGACCATTAATTGATTGAGAGTGATCAGCTGACCCTCTCAGCCAATGAATGACTTTCAGGATCAGTATCTGGCTTCTTTAGTTCTGCAGAACCTTTGAGCTTACCTCAGAGGAGGCCTGGTGCCATATTACTGGGAATTGGTGCACCAAGTGGCTGCTGGGATTGAGTGCCGCTCTTATTATCATTTTTGCAATAAAGCATGCTGTCCAACTCGGCTCTCAAATGTTGCTCCATTGGATTGACTGAGATCATCAATATTGATGATCTCAGCCAAGGAGTGTAGGCAGTTGCAGACACCCTAACTGCTACAGGACACTAAAGTTTTAGGAAGACATGTTTATATTCCTAACGCTATAGTGTTTATTTAACATCTCTTTATCAGATGTTAAAATGTCAATAAATATCTAACAAAAGATTGTCATCAACACCTATATTTTACATTTTAAGATTTCATTTTTTTAAATTTTCATTACTTGGGCTCTTTATGAGTTGGTCCTTGTAATTGTAAATATGTCCACATGATGGCAGCCATTATCAGAAAAAAAAATGCCAGCATTAGCTGAGCCAGTGCATGCTTGCTTTATTTAAAATCTACAGCTTATGCTGAGGTAAATTTATAGAATAAGGGCGACCACAGGAAGATATTTAATGGTTGTACTAAGCCCATTATAGTTGGAATGTAATGATAAATCCTAATGTCGTAAAGTAGTTAAAAGAAAAGTCGAAGCATCATACTCGCTATAAGTGTAATGTCTCTGTTTTTTAGTTGTTTTTTTGATAATCTTTATTTATGGTTCATTTTCAAAACTTTTTTATTATAGTAAACACAGTGTAGTCAAGTACATTCAAAAGAAGTGTAAGTTGATATAGAGAAACAGCATGGCACATAATATAACAGGTCTCAGAAGGTACACCTATAATCACCATGGAATCTAATCACCACAGAATATTATCACTGGTTATATCCTCTATTCCTAAAACCTTCAGCTCCCTGTATGATTCTATTACCAGGCCCAGAGATTATCATATTTAGGGACTGTATAACCTGTTTGGTGTATGGTATATATTAGTGGGTAAGAAAGACTGTGTAACAATAAGAGTTAAAGCCCGTATAGTGT